ACATCCAACTCTTCAGGTTACCAGGTCAATAATTTACCGTATTTCTTGTCTGGTGCCTAGTTCGGCCACTTTAATTGGGTCTTTCATGTTTCTTGATCCCGTCAAAGTTTAAAAGATGACAGATTTCAGCAAGTCCGCCTAGTAAATAAATTGAATTGGTACTGTTGACAGGGACGCAATCTTGGAAGAAGAGTGGGTGAGTCGACTGCGAGTTAAGGGAGACAAAATGTCGGAGTCACCGATTGAGAAGAATCAAGACGAGAAAATAGACCAACAAAAATCCTCAAACCAAGTAAGTCATCATTTCCTGAACTTCTAGGTATCTTCTCCAGTTTGACCGTCCTCACTAGAAACTATCAGAGTTCTGGTTTATCATGTGGAATCACGAATTATGGCCCATTTAATTGGTTTGCTTACAGTGGAGTATGGATGAGTATGATGGCTTTGATGGTGGCAATCATTCTTTCCTGAAATAAACCAAGAAGGTTAACAGTATTACTGTCCTTCCTAATCGCACTCGAAAAGACGTTGCCTTACTGTCTAAATAAGGAGATTTGGCTAAATGATGGGATGTCACAAATGAAATGAGATTTTTAATAATTATTTTGGAGGATTTTCCTCACAAAAATTACGTCTTTGGATAAGAACTGATTGAAAAACGGGCCGTGGCCAAGTCTTTCAAACCCAGAGACTGTAAAGATTGCTAAAATTTGAGAGTCAATAAATTCTAATTCCTGTTTATTTCATTATTATTTTTCGTTGAAAATTTCATAATTAATTATTTCATATGAATGTAATTCTTCAAAAAGGATGATCGACTGAAATTTCCAAAATTAAAAATAAGATAAGGTCAAAGTTCGCAGGGAAACGCCATTAGGTTGGCGTCAACGCTTTCACAAGAACCTTACACTGCATAGTTCATTACTCAAATAAATATTGTTCAGAACGATTTCCTAGTTGTGCTGCAAATTTTAGTTGTTTTCCCTCGGCTTAAATCGGTTTACGCTCCGTGCGCCGCCAATGTTTAGTTCGCTCCACTCATTTCAAAAACACGAGGTTTCACTCCAAAGTCAGCTTCATTTTTCTGCAGTGTTTTGTCGGAGTTGGGTCACAACTTTTAGCATCTGAACTTCAACGTTCCGCGGGGCAAAAGTTGTGATCGTCCGCTAAATGACCCTTCACGTAAATGCTTGTTCCTAAGTCCCAAGATTAAACACCTCCTGGGCGGCAGCGTTGCCACGTCAATCGAATTAAATCTTCCTTGCCCCAGCTTTGTGAGCAAAAAAGGGAACATTCTGTAAAGAATTTGACACTTGCGCTTGAGAGTTATCGTATCCATTGAGACAGTCTCACGATCCAACTTTAGGATGTTGTCACGGAAGACTAACATTCAAGATAGAGACAACTTCATTTCATGCAAAACTTAACGTAAACGAATCGTGATTGCTCATTTATGCGATCCAAGTCACTTAATAGACCATCGCGATACAAAGAAGCTTGAAAACTACCAAACGTGCAATGATCGAAGCGGAGCAAAAAATTAAAAATGTAGTTGGAAGCAAGATTGGCATTATAATCGCTCCATCCGTTTCGTTTGAGGTAAATTATTAAAAGCTACATCCATAACTGGAAAATAATAAACCTGTGTTTTAAAGCAAATCTCTTTGACTTGTGATCGGTCAGAATGGTACTTAAAAGACCCGATAATCCCTAAAAGGAATTTACCCATTGTATCACTTAAAAGAGAGCCAATGTAAATCAAAATAAGATCCAGGAATTCTTTAAAGATTTTGAGGAGGAAATAATAAGAATTTCACCACAGAATATATGAGGGGCTTGGAGAACAAATCGCATTAGTGCAATTTTTGAAAAAATTAAGATATTATTGATTTCAAGTAAAACTAGTTAAATAAGGGGAAAAAAACTAAGAAGTGGCCCGAACTGTATTTAACAAGCTGGAGAAATAGTGCCTGGGTACACACCATTTCGCGGAGAAAATAAGGCCAAGAAGTTCCCAAAATTCGAGTCAAAAATAAATTTTTTGACTCCAATGAGAACAAATACAAAACTGAGGGGGAGAGTGTTCAGCTCACGCTGTTTGCATTGGAATATTAAGTTGAGGTCACGCCGAGAGGTCAATACTGGTTTGGGTCTTTTCAGACCTCATCAGCCAATAGATCACACTCGTCAGTGAACCTAATTCACAATCAGCGAAATGGTGTGGACCCGGCACCATTTCTTCACCTTGCATGTAAAAGTAGTCTTAATGCATATTCTGTGAAAAATTCTCGCCCAAATTCAAATTCCTAAGAATTTAAAAGTCAATTTGAACTTTCTTTCCGTCATTACTATTCACGTAATTTCTAAACTTCGAACGCGTATTTCTCGAATTGCAAAAACTGCGCTTATGCGCCTTGTTCTCAAAGCCCCTCATATGAAGTTATGATGCGACTGCATTGGGAATAAAAGTCTCTTAGATCCTGAGTCCAGACTCTTAAAACGTTTGACAAAAAAAGAATTTTCTTAGGATTTTTGCTTGAATCGGAAGGAAATCCGCTTAAATTAAGAAGCTTGACTCTCGGTTCAAGCAGAAATCCAACTGAATCAGGAGTATATTTCTCTCGTCAATTTTTTTAGGAGGCTAGACTCTGGATCCGAGAGACTCTTTTTCTGATGTCGAATCGATGATGATCCCTCCAAAATTCACGTTCTGACCCGCCGAACTTTCGTGGATGACTGGAAACATGATAGATGCGGTTTCCGTCTCGACTAATTTTCAATCTAAGCTCCTGGAATGAAATTTTCACCAAGTTTCATGCTATTAGCCTAAAACGAAATTGTCACCTTCCGGCCTAAGTATCACAAGCGCCATGTGACGTTTAAAAATTTCCGCCGCCGTTATATTTTTAAACAGAGAGCTTGTTCAAAGAAGCTGTCCGAAAATTTCACTAAATTTTCTTTAAGCCGCCGATTAAATTCAGTGATATTTTCAAACAGATTCAACCAACAATTTCGCTGTAAGAAATAAAATGGCGGCGGAAATTTTGAAACGTAGTGCTGCTTGCGATACTTCCGACAGAGCACAGGGAAGAATTTCATGAGCCGTCCGCAGCGCGCATGGCGCACGACCCGCCTTTCATTATTACTCTTCATCTGGCGTTGAGATCTCACTAATTACTTCACTTAACCAGTGTGTGATTTTAAAAGTCGTAAATTAAAAAAAAAAATTACACGATACACGATTTTCTCCGCTAGGGAGCTCTCCCCGCAAGAAATCGTTCCCCACCCGCCCGCCGGGAGAGCCGCGGCGTGCTGCCAGCGCAAAACGCGCACTGACGCCTACAAACCTAAAGGGATACTTCACGCATTGCGCAATGCTTGAAGTATCCCTTTAGGTTTGTAGGCGTCAGCGCGCGTTTTGCGCTGGCAGCACGCCGCGGCTCTCCCGGCGGGCGGGTGGGGAACGATTTCTTGCGGGGAGAGCTCCCTAGCGGAGAAAATCGTGTATCGTGTAATTTTTTTTTTTAATTT